GAGCACTGACTACTCTTGCAGAGGACCTGGGTTCAATTCCCAGCACCCACATGGTGGCTACAAAGCATCCTTAACTCCAGTTCCAGGGGAATTTGACACCCTCTTCTGACACTGCACGACACGGGTGCACTCACATACATGCAGGCGATACACTCATATACATACAAAAAATTAAAAAAAGAAATATATATATTGGTTAGTGTCATTTTAATTTCTGTTTTGGCTCTATTTTGTGTTTTTATAACTATACCTTCATTGTTTTCTTTCTGTAGCCTCTTGGGTATGGGCATTTCTTTCTTCAGTCCTTTGTATTGCTTATAGTACTCACTATAGGGCTGGTTTAGTGGACATGAATTCTTTCAGCCCATTTGTATCAAGGAGGATTTTTATTTCCTCTTTAACGATGATAGACAGATAAACAGTTTTTCTGAGTGAAGTATTCTGGGTTTGCATCTGTGATCATTTAGAACTCGGAATACTTTACTCCGGGCTCTTCTGGGTTTTTATAGTTTGCACTGAGAAGTCAGCTGTAATTCTGATGGGTTTTCTTTATATGAAACTTGTTTTACTGTTGCAGCTTTCGGTATTCTCTCTTTGTTCTGTACATTTAGTGTTTTTCTATGATATACTGTGGAGTGTTTCCATCTCTATACCTCGTATGTCAGATTTCCTGCTCAACAGCAACTTCCATACTGGGGCCAAGGACTGGGCCATGCCAGCACTTCAGAACAACCCAAAGGCGTGTCAGAGAATGCTCATGAACATTGCTTATAGATCCTTGGAGGTGTCCAGAGAGGCACAAAGGTGCTATTTTGGGACCAGCACCTGTCTTCAGAGCTGTGGAGTGGGGTAGCCCCACCAAACTGAACCCAGTCTGCTGAGCCTGGGTCAGCTGGGTCTCAAGGCGGGTGGCTGAATCCAGTAATTACACAGTTGGAAGTAGAAGGCAGAGTTCTTGATGGGGAGACAGTTGGGCTGAGGGCAGAAGACAGGCAGCCAAGGCAGGCATAGTGAACACAAAACACGGACTCACGGTCCCTCTTGCATCCATTTATTCAAAGAGGATGCGATTTGGCCATGTTGAAGGCATGTGGGAGCTCAAAGCTCATGAGAGAGCAAAAACCATTAGGAAGTTGGGAATCTAAAGGAATAAAGTTAAATGAGAGCACTGGGTAGGCTCAGAACAGGCTGTAACAGATCCTGAGTCTCCATCTCACCTCAGGACACAAGGTGGTGAGACTCAAACACACATGCACCTCAGTTGTGCGAGGGTAGTCCAGGGTCTACACCGGCCTGTCAGTAGGTCCTCAGATGACTGGAGGAGTACAAAGTCAAGTCTCTTGTGGGATATGAAGGTGAAATCCCTTCACTGATTCCTTCAGGGCACAAATATCCATGACCCACTAACATGTGGCTTGTACTCTTCATGCAGTGAGGATAAAAATGTGAACTTTGGAAATTAAGTCTTAACTTTTGAGTATATGAACACGAGGCAGTTATAAAAAGGGACCAAGACACTTGAGAGTCAGAAGTGGTCTTTTGAGAGCACAGCTGTGATAAGGCACCTTCTTGACCATAGCGACTCCATGTTGAAATCTAGCCTCTGAAAATAAAGGGCAGTTGGTCCAGGGTGTGGGAACAGGAAGGTGTGACTCAGGTGCACCAAGGTATGTGTCATCAGGTTCCTGGCTGCCTTGAGAACACGTCATCGGGTCCTGGTTGCCTTGAGAACATGTCATCGGTCCCGGCTGCCTTGAGAACACGTCATCGGGTCCCGGTTGCCTTGAGAACACGACATCGGTCCCGGTCGCTTCTGGTGACTGCGGATTTATGGCTTCTGTGCTTTATACTTGGCTGGCTTTTGCAGAATAGTAATTGTCAGAGGGCCTTTCACCCCTAAGCTATGGAAACGCTTGGAAACTTAAACTTTTCACCCCCAATGTGTTTTTTCTGTACAAAAGCTTACCCTAAGAACAGCTAGGCACTGCATTTGGGTTCAAATGCCCCGTGTAGTCGCTGTCCAGGTAATAAATGACTCTGTTTTGGCATTATTTTGTGTCTGGGTAGTCTTCTCTGGTGAAACACCTCACAATACAGTTGGCTTTGGGACACAGCATAAAACGGGGGAGGGCAATGGTATTCCTTGTGTGCCCTGAGGTCTGCTCTGATGATTTAAAACTGACCAGAGGCTTGAAATCGTGTCCTTCCCTTATGAAATGTCTTTGTGGGACATTAAGTCAGGGACACAGCAATGAGGTGAGTTCCCAGGTGGGGTCCAGTGTTCTGGGAACTGGCAGGATTGTCTGTGGCTAAGAAGCTCAGTCCTTTTCTGAGGAACAGGAGGTGGAAAGCTGGTTTCAAGAGAGAGTGATCCAGGGAAAGCATGGGAGGATGGAGGGCTGAGGTAGGGCTGGGAGGAAGCAGGAGGAAGCAGGCCCCACCCTCCCTGCCCAAAGTGCAGACTGTGCACACCCCTCACCCAGGTCACTCATCTCTCCAGGGTCCTCTGTGAACAGCACCCTGGGGTGGAGCAGACATTGTGTGTCTTTCATCTCAGGTGACACTGAGTTCATATTCATCAGATGCCAACAATAACACATTCTACCCCATGATGGATGTGGACTTGGCCATGATAGGTGGACAGGAGGGACATGGTCAGTGCCAAGCGGGCACAGGTTCCCGGCCATGAGGGACATAAAAGGCGCTCTGTGAGGAGCCAGAGGAGCATCACCCACACTCCTGTCTGACCTGCCTTGTGTGAGAGCTGAGAGTCTGGAGATGAAGACCCTGCTCCTGACCATCCTGTTGCTTGGGCTGGTGGCTGTCCTACAGGCCCAGGATGCCCCGTCAGATTACCAGGAGGATGTGAGGATGGGAAGGAGTGTTCACGGGGGTAAAAGAAGGGTTTGGTGCCTGGCCATGAGTCCTGGTTCAGGAGGTGAACTTGAAGCCTCAGGTCTGACCCTGTGCCCTGGTCTGGGGCTGTCAGATCAGGATCTCTGCTGTTCTCCTAGCAGACACAGGCCCTCTGGGGCACAGGGCTGTGGTGTATTAGCAGGTTTAGGTGGTCCAGGTATCCTTGGTTAAGTAACACCCAGAAGCAGAGGGCCTCACAGGGCTGGACATTCAGATCGCAGACTCCTCCAGTGCTGGGGTCTAGACCTCAGAGAGTTTGCATACTGGGAGCAGACACCTTCCACCTCCACTGGGTCAGGCATCCTGAGTGCTAGGCTCTCTCTACTGATTACAGCTGCTGGGACCTGTCAGGCAAACCCACCTCAGGAGCACCAGTCTTGACTCTAGATGTCTGTCCAGGCTACAGGCCCGTGTGCTGGTGCTTGGTGGAGCGTCAGGAACAATCAAGGTGTACTTAGGGCTCTGTCTGTTGCAGGTCTCAGGGACCTGGTACCCCAAGGCCTTTGTGGACAACAGCACCATGTCCAACAAGAGGCCAAAGAGGGTGTTTCCTGTGACAGTGACAGCCCTAGAAGGAGGAGACCTGGAGGCCAAGATCATATTCTGGTGAGTGTTCCCACTCTGAGTCTCTGCAGTTGGTCTTCTCTTTTCTTTCTTCCATTATTTGGGGGTGGCTGAGAAAAGTCCCCTGTCTTTGAGGGGACACAGTCTCAGTCAGTACCCTAAAGCATCAGCGAGGATGACATGGGGTTTTGGGAGGCACCTGATCAGGGCTGATACACCAGGTGAGCTGAGCACTGCTCACCTGTGGGTTCAGAGAGCAGCTCCCTGGGCTGCTTCTGCTTTACAGGAGGAAGGGGCAGTGTCATGAGTTCAAAGTTCTGATGAAAACAACCGATGAGCCTGGCAAATATACCGCCTGTGAGTCTCCCTGTGATCCAGCATCTCTGCAGTGGGCAGCTCCTGGGTGGGCAGGTCCCCTCCCCTGGGTGGGAGGGTCTTTGCCCTGTCCTTTTTCCAGGATAGGCCATCCTCTCACTTTCCACATACCAGACATTAGAGGCCTCAGGTTGGTCCATAGCTGGGACCGGCCGGTGCTTCCCCCACATAACTCAGCCCTTGAACCATGAGGCCCTGATGGTAAGCATAGAGCACAGGGCGGGGCAGGTGCTCAGGCCGGGGCCAAGCTCAGTGCTCACATCCTCCCGACTCCTCAGCCCCAATGGTTTGTGCAGGAAAGAGTCTTTGAGAACCATTTCTCTGTTCACCTGTAGCTAAAGGCAAGAAGACTGTCTATGTCCAGGAGCTGCCAGTAAGGAACCACTACATCTTCTACTGCGAAGGCCAGAGCCACGGGGGGTCATTCGGCATGGGAAAACTCATGGGTGAGGGGCCTGGATACCCACGTTCTGTCCAGTCTCTAATTAGAGGGGCCTTGGGATGGAATCCAGTTATACCATGTACTGGAGACTGGGAAGCCTCTGAGTGTTGGGCACAGAATACTCTCAGGAGAATGTATGAGATTCGACATGGGAAAGGCGACAGCTGGGTTGGGGCAGTGCTTATGTGGGTCTTGAAGGCCTGAGCACTCAGGAGGGTTTCCCAGCCTGAGGCTGGATCCCTTGGATCCCTTTCATGGATCTTGGGCTAGCGATGGGTCAGTGTGAAGAGGGAGAGTCCTGACAGAGGTCTTCATGGGTTGGGATCCTGAAGCGTCCCAGGACAGCCCAGTGCCCCTGAGACTCGTGGCTCTTACAGGTCTGGGGAAAAACCATTCCAGCATCCTGAGGTTCCTGCAGGGACCCGAGGGTCACTCAGTATCCTGGGTGTCCCCACCCAGAGCTCCTTGTGCACTGGCTGCTCAAGGTGCTGGGCTGGGGCCTTGTCCTTGTGTCACTGGCTCCCTGCGGAGTCATGCAGCCCCTCCCTCCCCTCACCCTGTCCCCACAGGGAGGGACCCTGAGGACAACCCAGAGGCCATGGAAGAATTTAAGAAATTTGTACAGCTCAAGGGACTCCGGCAGGAAAACATTTTCATGCCTGAGCTGAGGGGTGAGCACAGGGGTTGCCATGGCAATCTCCCATGTCATCTCCATGTCACTCATGACTGTCTGTGACCCATCTGTCTGTGTGCCCCTGGGCCCCTTTCTCTCCCTGGTCCCATTGTCCCTCATGTGCTGCCCCATATTGCCCTATGTTCTCAGATGTGTCAGTGATGCCCCAGTGTGTCCTCTGTTCACTGAGCCTCTGTGTTGCCCTGAGACTTTCTACACTAGGAGTCTCTGTGTCCCCCGTTCCTCCACATGTCCTGTGGGCTTCTAAGTCACTCTCCCCCAGGAGTCTTTTTGTATGCTTGGTTTCTGTACTGTCCTTTCAGGGTCCCCTCCACCCTGAAAGGGTCATTAGGACTCAGGTCTTGGCTGCGGGAGGGTCTGGGCTGCAGCGTACTGAGTCCTCATCAAGGACGCCTTCTTATCCCCGGGCCTTTCTTGTTTCTCACAGATCACTGTGAACCTGAGAGTGACTAGGGTAAGTGGCCCTCTGGGAGGATGGAGGAAAAGCCTAGAGTGCCAGGGTCTGGAGTTGGTGGCCCCTCTTCCTTTCCACAGAGGTGCTCTGGGCGTAATTTCCAGGACAGATTAAAGTCCTTTCCTTTCACCTGATCTTTGCCTGGTCCTATTTTTCTCCTTCCCAAGGATGCTCAGAAACTTGGCAGGGACCACACAGAAGCTTGGGGAAGGAAGATCTGTGACCCACGTCTGCCCTGTACAGCCCCTGCCTGGGCATCCTGACTGCTCTCCCCCAGGAGAGGAGGGGCCTCAGCTCTGCACCTTTATCACAGCTGGTACCAGGTGTGTCCCTGCTGAACCTGCCTTGCTGCCTGTACCTGGCGGGGACATCCTCGCACCACCCCTGACTAGGATCAGCCTCCCCACTGGACCCCTCTCCTGCTTTGCCCCTTCCCCGCCCTGACCCCACCTGACTCCAAATAAAGCTCTCCATCAGCATGCCGGACTCAGCCTGTCTGTGAGGGCCTTGTGTTGGTTCTGTAAGAGATCTGCTGGGGCAGCTGTGGGGGAAATTGGGAAGACATTAGACCCAACAATGGCTAGTCCCCAAGGAATATGGCGTCTGCATGTCCTGTAGAGACACTGTGAGGTCCTGGAGGCCACCTGATGAGCCATTGGCAGTCAGGCAGGAGACTTGCGGGAGAGTTGGAGAAGCCTGGTGACAGGTGGCTGTGAGAAGTCGCAGAGCTGCAGACAGTGTGCAGAACTTGATGGGATTCTGGGGAGGCCCTGCTTTGAGCAGCTGTGCTCAGAGATGGGGTGGAGGAAGGGCGGGTAACTTCTCCATCACCTCTCCTTAAGGAAGTCAGAACCAGTCACAGCCTCTGTTGGCCCTGGTCCCCACAGTGATCTTCTCCAAGGTTTGTCTAGAGACCAGGGTTTGGGTTTTCTCTGTCCTACAGGGACATGGGAGGCCACAGTGAGGGGGGACATGCCCAGTACTCCAGGTGTTAATTGAAGCCCAAAGTGCAAACCCCAGTGGAGCCCAGCTGCCCCCAACACACATCTCACAGAACACAAGCCCACCTGTGGGCATGGTTGACCTCTCAGTGGGGAGTCACAGTTTGCTAAAAGACATTTAACATACATTTTAAAACAGGAAGTAAGAGAGAGACACTCAGGAGAACATAAGAAATAGCCAAATCTGGGCCTGGAATACTCAAGGGAGAGTTGCCATTTAGTATTTGCCATTTATATGATTTAAGTGGCTCCCAAGTTACATTTCAAAGTAGTTAGTCCCCGCACTCAGGAGGCAAAGGCAAGTGGATCTCTGAGTTCAAGGCCAGCCTGGTCTACATAGTGAGTTCCAGGACAGCTGGGGCTACAGGGAGAGCCTGTCTCAAAAACACCAAAAAAAAAAAAAATTGACAGTAAACATAAAATATTAAATTCTTGCCTCTTTACTCTGTGACATGGTCTCACTGTGCAGCACTGGGTCCCTGGAACTGACAGGAATCTGCCTCCTGAGATTAAAGTTATGCACCACCGCATTCAGCTAAAATCTTGCCTTTTAAAGTAAGCCCTTTTCTGTTAATTTTTCTTAAAATAGATCATTTTTCTCTGAAAGTCCAATTGCTTTGAATGTAAGAAAAGAAAAACATATAAGCAGTATTTGGGTCATACTGAACACAATCATTTATATTTTCTTATAGAGAGATTCATTGTTTAAAAGGAACTAGGAAAGAGCCCAGGCAGTGAAATGTTTGCTGCAAAGGCACCTTTTCTATATGGATTTGATCTCCAGAATCCACATGAAAAGCAGGGCACTTATAATCTCAGCACTGGGGTAGTGAATACAGGAGGATCCCAGTTGGTTCTGGCCTCTAATCCCAGCACTCAGGAGGCAGGGACAGGTGGAACTCTGTGAGAGTGAGACCAGCTTAGTCTCCATATAAAGTTCAGGAACCTGGGGATACCGGGAGACCCTGTGTCAAAGACAAAAACAACAGACAAAAACATAATAAAATGTGCAGCCGTGTGTGTGGGGGGTGAATTTCAGTAGTAGAGTTCATGCTAACATGAGCCATCCTGGGTTAGAGCCTCAGGACTGGAAAAAGAAGTCATCATCCATGTAGAGTGAGACTTTCCAGTGGTGGAGGTGCTTTGGGGTCACCCCTGCCGGGAACCCCTCACCAATGCTCGGTAAATAGGCCCCATAACTCATTGGTTCTCCAGGTTGGAAATGGGTGGACCATAGCTTGCTTTGTCATTGGTGCCCATCTGAACCAGGGAGATTTTTGTTCATGTCTCCCAGGAAAAGGCTCATGCAACACTGTTCCTCCCAACGATGTCTGCTGCCACGACAACTTGACCAGTATGTGCCCACACAGTGGGAGAACTGGGAGAATTTAGCCACTGGGTCATAAGAGAGGTGGACAGTGGAAAGATCCCAGGGGGCTCTGCTGTCCCTGGCACTGTCAATCACCTGGGCACGTTGTCCCCTCCTGGCTCCAGTATAGACACACGTGCCCCTCTGCTGTAAGGTGCTTAGATAAATGATCCATGCACACACGTGAAGGACAAGGGACAGGTGCGGTAAGGACTCAGGTACAGGGACACCTCTCCTCAGACCTGGAAATGCTAGCCTGCTTCCTAACCTCTGGTCCTCAAGCGCACTGGCCCCACCCTCTCCACCCAGCTGGGTGGCTGCTTCCTGCTCAGCAGCAGCTTTGGTGCCGGGGCCAAGGACTGGGTCATGCCAGCACCTCAGCACAATTACAGAGTGCTCATTAATACTGTATAGCATCTCAAAACTGCCCAGCCTCGGTGCAGAGAGAGGCACAAAGGTGCCATTGTGGGACCAGCACCTGTCTCCAGAGCCCACTCAGCTGGTCTCAGAGTGGGTGGCTGGGCCCAGGCCCTTCTGGAGTGGAAAACAAATTTCCTGTTGGAGATGGAGCTGAGATCCACAGAGAGAGCAGCCAGGAAAGCGGCAGTGAACTGAACACAGGAGGACAAAAAACAGCTCATTTGTTCGTTTACTCAAAGGGAATGGGATTCACTCAACCACGGCACGGGTTGTGTGGGTGCTCAAAGCTGAAGAGTGAATGGAAAACATTGGGGAGTGAGGGATCCAGGGGAACAAAGTCAAATAGGAGCCAAAGAGTGGGTTCAGGACAGGCTGCGATGGACCCTGACTCCACATCCAGCTTACAGTAAAAGGTGGCAAGGCTCAAACACACATGCACCTCAGTTGAGCTGCGACAGCCCAGACTTTGCACATGTCCCATCACCGGGTCTTCAGATGATCACAACACAAGGTCAGGTCCCTTGTTGGAGATTAATCCCCTGAGCCCAGCGAGGTGAAATACCTTCACTGTGGTTGGAACTTTTCATGGAGCCAGGATAAAATTGTGAACCTTGAGCGTCAGGCCCTACTGTCCGTGAGAAGAGCACCGACTGGTTAGAAAACGCAACCAACAGAGGCTGGTAAGACGCGGTCTGCAGAGTGCAGCTGGCTTCAGGGTGCAGAATGAAGTGTGGTGGGAGCCATGGTATTCCCTGGTATGACCTGGGGTCTCCCCTGATGGTTTTAAACTGACCAGAGCCATGAAATTGTGTCTCTTTTTGCTTAAAGGTCCAGAGGGGGCATCCAGGAAGGGGCAGAGCAATGAGGTGGGCTCCCAGACAGGGATCCAGTCTGGGAATTGGCAAGACCGTCTGAGGTTAAGAAACTGGGTCCTTTTCTACGGAGAAGGTGGTCCAGAAAGTGACCCAGAGAAACTATGGGAGGCTGGAGGATGAAGGCAAAGAAGGAAGAAGCAGGGCCCACCCTCCCTGCGCAAAGTGCACCCCCCACACCCAGGTCATTCATCTTTACCAGGGTCCTCTGTGAACCCTTGGGTGATGCAGACATCGCAGGGTAGTGTGTGCCTTTCATCTGTAGGTGACACTGAGTTGATAGTCACCGGATCCCAACAAGAACAATATTCCACCCTCATGATGGATATGGGCTTGGCCATGATAGACGAACAGAAGGGACGTGCTCAGTGCCAAGCCAGGCCTGGTCTTGAGGGACATAAAGGGTGTCCTGTGACGATCCAGAGCAGCATCGTCCACACTCCTGTACTGACCTGCCTTGTCTGAGAGCTGAGAGTCTGGAAATGAAGACCCTGCTCCTGACTGACCTGCTGCTTGGGCTGGTGACTGTTCTACAGGCCCTGGATGCCACGTCAGAGAACCCAAAGGTAATTGAAGGATGGTGGGTGGGGGGAGGAAGGCATGACCGCTGATCAATGCCCAGGGACATGAGTCGAGGTTCAGGAGGTGTCCTTGAAGGCTGAGATATCGCCATGTACCGCAACCTGGAGTGGTCAAATTGGAATCTCCACTGTTCTCCCTGCAGGCGGGGGTCCTCCCAGGGCACAGGCTGGAGCAGGGATCTTTGCCCAAGTAACACCAGGCCCCAGAAAGCTTCATAGGGCAGGACCTTCGGTGCAGAGGATTCACCCAGTGCTGGGTTCTACACCTCAAAGAGTGTATACTTAGGGGCAGACTGTCTCTGCTAGGCCAGGATGCCCCAGTGCTGGGCTTTGTCTACTTGGAACAGTTGTGGGGATTGTGTGGGCAGGCCACCTCCCAGGCTGCTGCCTGAGCTCTGGAATGTCTTTCCAGGCTACCAACCCATGTGCTGGAGCCTAGGTGGGAACCTGAGTCAGGCAGTGGTGTGCTAAGTGTTCTATCTACTGCAGATTTCTGGCACTTGGTACACGAAGGCCATTGTGAGTGACAAGAACCGCACAGAGGGGCAAAGCCCCACGAAAGCTTCCCTCTGTCTGTGAAGGTCCTGGCAGGAGGGGACTTGGAGGTCCAGCACTCAATCTGGTGAGCGTCCCTCACTCTGAGTCTCTGCTGTTGGCTCCGTGTCCTCCTGCACAGATGTGCGTGACTAAGGCCCCGCCTTTGGGGGGACACAGTCTCAGCCAGTCTACTTAATAATAGTAGACTACAAATAAACATGGTATACCTTGAAGCACCAGCAGCACTGATGTGGGATTTCAAAGTCACCTCTCCGGGCTGATCTACCCGATAAGCTGAGCGGCACGTCCTGTTCTACAGGAAGAAGGATCAGTGTAATAACCAGAAAGTTGTGATGAAGAAAACCAGCGAGCCTGGCAAATACATTGCCTGTGAGTCTTGCTGTGGTCCAGCATCTCTGGCAGGGAACAGCTTCTGGGTGGGAGGGTCCCTGTCCTGTCCAGCTACCAGGATGGGCCATCCACTCAATTTCCACATATAAGACATTAGTGTTCATAGGCTAGTCCACAACTGGGCCCACTCCCTGTAGCTCGGCTCTTAGTCTATGAGGAACAGGTGCTGAGCAGGGACACAAGGCACATTCGGGGCTCAGGCCTGCGGCCAAGCTCAGTGCTCACAGACTCCTCAGCCAACCCTGGTAGCATCCTGGGAGATAGGTCCTGCCCAGTTATGGAGACCACAGCAAGGCCAGGGCTGGACTGCTTGGGTCTCCTGGGTAACCATTAAAGGGTTCCAGATTGTTCATTCATGTGGCCTCCAATGGCTTCTATAGGAATGTGATGCTAAGAGCTATGTCTCTGTTCACCTGCAGTTAATGGCAAGAAGTCCATCTTCATCCAGGAACTGCCCGTGAAGGACCACTTCTACTGTGAAGGCCAGCGCCGTGGAAATTTGTACCACAATGGAAAGCTCATGGGTGACGGACCATGAACACCTATGTCCTGTTCACAATCTAATGACAGTAGCTATGGGAAGGGCAGCAGCCATGTCTGACACTGGGAAGTGTGGAAACTCTAGGTGCTGGGCACAGGGTGATGCCAGAGAGTGTGTGAGGTCTGAGGTGAGAAGGGGGCAGCTGGGGGCGATGAGGTTTCTACGGCCTTTGGAGTCCTGGTACTCAGGAAGGGTTTCCACCCCTGGAGCTGGCAAGTGTCACTTCCAAAGATCTCAGACAAGGGATGGGTCAATATGAGGGAGATTCCTGACAGAGGCCTTCATGGAGGGAGATCCTCCAGGTTCAGGAGACAGCCCAGTCCCCCGAGACTCAGAGCTCTTACAGGTCTTGGGAGTGGCCCTGCAGGCCTGCTGAGGTTCCTCCATGGGGCACCAGGGTCACTCAGTGCTTTGGGGTGTCCCCACCCCAGAGCTCCTGTCCACTGCCAGGATCTTCTTCCTGTCTTGACTGCTCAAGGCACTGTGCAGTGGTCTTGTCCTTGTGCGACTGGCTCCCTGCAGAGCTGCGCATCTCCCTCACCTGACCCTGTCCCCACAGGGAGGGACACGGCGAGAAACCCAGAGGCCATGAAAGAATTTAAGAAATTCGCACAAATCAAGGGATTTGAACTGGAAAACCTTGTTGCACCTGAGCAGAGTGGTGAGGACACATCTGGCCACGTCTCTCCCTCATGTCCCCGCCATGTCTCTTTGTGAGCCTTCTGTGTGTCTGTCCCTCCTCGCCCCACTGTCCCCCACATCTCTTTAAGTCCCCGTATGTCTCTGGTTACCTTGTGTGTCTCTGTGTCACCCAACTCTCCTTGTATCTGATGCTTCTAGTACCCCCCAAAGCCGAATGTCCCCTCGGAACAGCAGGCCCTTCTTCAGGTCTTGGCTGTGGGGTTGTCTGAGCTGCAGGTGTGATGGGATTTTCGTCCATGAGGCCTGCTCATCCTGTGTTTTTCTTGGTTTCTACAGATAAGTGCCTCCCTGGACATGACTAGGGTAAGTGTCCCTTTGGTAGGGCTGTGGGAAAGGCCAGGGTCCTGTGATCTGGAGTTGGAGGGTCCAGGTGCCTGGTCCTCATTCCATCCACATGGGCAGCAAGGGTCAACTCAGGAGGTCGTCCCAAGTGCAATTCCTTGTACCCTCATCTCTGAATAGTCCTAGCCCTAAACCCCACCAAGGACGCTCAGGGACCTGACAGGTCACAGAGGGAGGAGACAGGACAGGACCATAAGGCCATGGTTGTTTATCAAGGACTACACAAAATCTTCGGGATGGACGATCTCTGACTGGCATCTGCCCCTCACCTCTGTTCTTCTCCTTGTGCAACAGCCACTCATGAATGTACCTGCTGATCCTGCCCTGACACCAACACAATGCCGTGACCTCCCTGGAACACCCGGCCCCTGGACCTCACTCCCTGCTGGATGACCCTCCTACCTTAGCCCCTCCCTGTCCCTCCTCCTGACTCCAGATAAAGCACTTTTGCATCACTCTGGACGCAGCCTGTCTGTGAAGGGGCTTGTGTTGCCTCCCTGAAAGCTCTTCCAGGGAGCAGTATGGGGTTGTTCGGGGAGACGTTGGGCCCAACAAAAGCTAGTTCCCAAGGAGCGTGGCATTCAGCTGTCCTAGGCAATTGTATTCGTTACCTTCCTGTTTCTGCTATAAAATACTACGGCCAATGAACTTATAAAGGAAGAGTTTGTTTTCTAGTTCCCGAGGAATAAGAGTCTTTCATGGAGGTCATGGGGGGAGGCAGGACAGCGGGAGGTGGCCAGAGCAGAAAGCTGAAAACTCACATATTCAAGTACTCCTGGGGGGTACTGGGGGGGGGGAGAGAGAGAGAGAGAGAGAGAGAGAGAGAGAGAGAGAGGAAACTCACATATTCAAGTACTCCTGGGGGGTACTGGGGGGGAGAGAGAGAGAGAGAGAGAGAGAGAGAGAGAGAGAGAGAGACTATGAACTCTCAAATTCCGCCCCAGTGACATACTTCCTTCAGCAAGGCAGCACCTCCCGACGGTGCCTTCTCCAAAGAGCACCACCAAAGACCAAATGTTCAAATACTTGCGGTCTATTGAGCTTAAGTCTCATTCACCAAAGCCCTGTGACGTCCTCGAGGCCCACCTGGGCTATTGAAGTCACCACTGCCTCTAGGTCTCTCTATTCCTCTATGTGAAGTAGTGTTGGTTTTATGAAGTTGGACACACCAGTATTGATGCATATGGATTTACTATCACTGTATCTTTTTGATGGATTTTTCCCTTATTAATATGTAGTGACCTTGTTTACCTCTTCTAATTTTGGCTTGAAATTTAGTTCGTTAGGGATGAATAGAGACTCTCCTGCTTGATTTGGGCCGCCATTTGTTTGATGTGTTGATTTCATCTTCAGAGTGTGTGTTTTTTAGTGAGATATGTTTCTTTTTGCCATAAATCAATCACCTTGTCCTTCATTCTGTAGTTGTAGAACTAAGACCCTTTACATTTCAGGTCCTATTGAGTGGAGTTTGCTGATTCCTGCAATTTTGCATCCCCCCACTTTAAAAACATTTTGTTTTCAGTTATGTGTACATGTGTGTGTCCTGTAGAAGCCAAAGAAGGTGTCAGATTCCCCTGGAGTTATAGGTGTTTATGAGCCATCTACGTTGGGTTTTGGGAACAGAAACTGGGTCTTCTGTAAAAGCAGTACACACTCTTAGCTGAGCCATCTCTGGAGTAAAAGTGCTTGCCACTCAAGCCTGAAGTCCTGAGTTGGAATCCTCGGAAGCCATTTTTAAAAAGCCAGATGCGTATACAAACATCTGTAGCATCAGCAATCCTGTAGAGATGACAGGTAGGAAGGACCTCCACAAGGCCGCGGACCAGCTAGCTTGGTGTGTACAGTGGGAAAACTACAAAGAAAGCCTCGGGGACATGCGCTCAAGGATGTCCCCTGACACGCACATCTGTGCCCAGGTATGCGCATGTCTGCATTTCCCCACATGAATGCACATACACACAAATAGATGATAGATAGATGATAGATGATAGATAGATGATAGATGATGATGATAGATAGATAGATAGATAAGATACAAAGATAGATAGATAGATAGATAGATAGATAGATAGATAGATAGATAGATAGATAGATAGATAGATAGATAGATAGATAGATAGATAGATAGATAGATAGATAGATAGATAGATAGATAGATAGATAGATAGATAGATAGATAGATAGATAGATAGATAGATAGATAGATAGATAGATAGATAGATAGATAGATAGATAGATAGATAGATAGATAGATAGATAGATAGATAGATAGATAGATAGATAGATAGATAGATAGATAGATAGATAGATAGATAGATAGATAGATAGATAGATAGATAGATAGATAGATAGATAGATAGATAGATGATGACAGAGGATGGATGGATAGATGATAGATGATAGATGATGACAGAGGATGGATGGATAGATGATAGATAGATAGATAGATGATAGATAAATTGATACATAGATGATAGATAGATGATAGATGATGATAGATGATAGATGATAGATAGATGATAGATAGACAGATGATAGATGATACATAGATGATAGATGATGATAGATGATAGATGATACATAGATGATAGATAGATAGATAGATAGATGATAGATAGGTGGATGGATGATGGATGATAAACATGAACTGGTGCTCCTTGTGTGTGGATCCTGAGCCCCTTTTCATTGGCATCTCATTTTGTCATGGCTTATGGACAGATTTCTTAGGATTCTCCATTATAGATCTGTGCTATGTCTGAATAGAGCATTAGTCCATTTATTGTTTCAATCATAAACTACAAGAGGCTGGGCCCTTGATAAAGAAAAGAGGTTTATTTAGCTTATGGTCTGGAGCTCAAGGTTATGGTGAGGCATTGGTGTGGCCATGATGAAGGCTTCTGGTGGGAGCATGCAAGAGATGACCTGAGGGGTCACTTGGACTTGGGCTCCTTTGGCCTTTTACCAGTTGTTCCATCTGAGTGAGCGTAAGTCGAAGGCCTTAACTGACTGTGGCTTTACTTGGAAACAATGAAGGATTTCCTCTGCGCTGACCCCTTTCTGTAGACTGGACGCTGGTTCAAGTCCATCTTGTTGCGTCTCCATGACCTCCCTGAACAAGAGGACAAGTGACTCACCATGGTTATAGGACATTTCAAAAGATGCTCCATAGTCCCCTAGGATCTAGCTGACCTTGGAGGGCAAGGGGAAACAATATTTTCCTTTTAAATTCCTCTCACCACATTAGTATAGGCCTCCAAATATGGTTATTGAACACCCAGAAGGTCAATTACATGTCTGGTACTTTTAATTACTATGTAATATGTAGAAAAACTTGAACAAAAAATGCTCTTAAATGAACCTTGGTTAGACATATAGCTTTAAGTAAGTCCTTATCATTGTTAACAAGAATGAATCAATAGCTCCATTAGAGGTCTGACTGAACTTTGACCTTAGAAATTTTAAGATCATGCTGGGTGTGGTGGTACATGCCTTTAATTCCAGCCCTCGGGAGGTAGAGGCAAGCAGATCTCTGCAAGACTGAGGTCACACTGGTACACATCATGACTTCTAGATGGGCTCTGACCAGGAAGACCTTGTCCAAAAATAAATAAAATTTAAGATCATCTATACAGCATCTCTGAGTTTCATCTTTCCTAACCCTTAAGAAACCTACTGAGAGCTTCATAACTTGCATAAATTTCTTCATTTTCATTTTTATTTTGGAAACATTCAGCCTTCTTACTTTTCATACACAAATCCTTTATTAAAATATTTCTGTTTCTGTATCTTTCTAATGTATTCTTTTCCTTATTTTCTTTTTAAAAATATTTTATTTATTATTATTTTTTTTAGTCTTTTTTTGAAACAGGGTCTCCCTATAGCCCCAACTGGCCTGGAACTCACTATGTAGACCAGGCTGGCCTCGAATTCACAGAGATCTGCCTGCCTCTGCC